AATAAAATTGTTTCTTTTATGTATTTTTTAGTTGTAGTTGCACACAATACCTTTATTTTATTCATTTTTTAATGTGGTGCTGAGGATCAAACCTAGGGCCTCGCATGTACTAGGCGAGTGCTCTACTGCTGAGCCACAACCCCAGCCCAAAATAAAATTGTTTCATGATAAACAAAAGTTAAAAGAATTTACAACTAGAAAGCCTGCACTACACAAAATATACTGAATAAAATATTTCAGGGGCTGGGGATATAGCTCAGCTGGTAGAGTGCTTGCCTCACATGCACAAGGCCCTGGGTTCAATCCCTAGCACCACAAAAAGACAACAAAAAATAATATTTCATAAGTAGAGATAAAATTTAAAACTGGCAAAGGGAGGATCTACACTAGAAGAATAGTCAATCAAAGGAGAAACTAATTCAAATTAAAATCAGAAATAAATCAAAATGACAGGGAATAAAAATCATTTCTCAATAACAACATTGAATGTAAATGGCCTAAACTCATCAATCAAAAGACAAAAACAGACAATTAGACCAAAGAAGGAAATGATAAAGAGATACAAATAGAAAAATAAGAGCTCAAACTATCCCTATTTGTTGATGTCATGATTGATTCTATAATTAGAAGACCCAGAAAACTTCTAGATCTCATAAACTAATTCAGCAAAATAGCAGGCTATAAAATTAATACCTATAAATCAATTGCATTCCTATACACCAATGATGAACTAGCTGAAAGAGGAATTAAGAAAGTCATTCTATTCACAACAGCCTCAATAAAATAAAATATTTAGTAATCAATCTAACAAAAGAGGCGAAAGACCTCTACAATGAAAACTATAGAATAAAAGAAAGAAATCGAAGATGACCTTAGAGAATAGAAAGATCTTCCATGATCTTGGATAGACAGAATTAATATTGTCGAAATGGCAATTCTACTAAAAGCACTATACAGATTTAATGCAATTCCTATTAAAATTCCAATGGCATTCTTCATAGAAATAGAAAAAAAGAGTCCTGAAATTCATTTGGAAAAATAAGAGGCTGAGAATAGTCAAAGCAATTCTTAGTGAGAAAATCAAAGCAGGAGGCATCACAATACCAGACCTTAAATCATACTACAGAACCATAGTAACAAGAACAGCATGGCATTGGCATCAAAACAGACATGAAAACCAATAGAACAGAATAGAGAGAAACCCACATAAATACAGTTATCTCATACTAGACAAAGATGCCATAAACATTCATTGGAGAAGAGATTGCCTCTTCAACAGTCCATATGTAGCAGAATGAAATTTAACCCCTATTTTATTTTATGAAGGGTGAGAGCATCCTTCATAAAACTCAACTCAAAGTGGATTAAGGACCTAGGCATTAGACCAGAGACATTCCGTGCCTATTAGAAGAAAAAGTAGGCCTAATATTGCATTATGACAGCTCAGGAATGGACTTCCTCAAAAAGATTCTTTAAAGCACAAGAAGTAAAATCAAGAATCAATAAATGGGAGGGTATCAATCTAAAAAGCTTCTTCACAGCAAAGAATACAATTAAGAACATGAAAAGAGAGCCCACTCTGTAGAATGGGAGAAAATCTTTACCACCTGCACCTCAAATAGAGCATAAATCTCCAAGATATATAAAGAACTAAAAAACCAACACCAAAAACACAAATAACCCAATCAATAAATGGGCAAAGGAACTGAATAGAGACTTCCAGACCAAATACAAAGATCAACAAATATATTTAAAAAATGCTCAATATCTTTAGCAATTAGAGAAATACAAATTAAAACTACACTGAGATTCCATCTCACCACAGTCAGAATGGCAATCATCAAGATTACAGTAAACATAAATGTTGGTAAGGATGTGGGGAAAAAGGTACACTCATATATTGCTGGTAGGACTGCAAATTGGTGCAACCACTATGGAAAGCAGTATGGAGATTCCTCGGAAAACTTGGAATGGAACCACGATTTGACTCAGTTATCCCATTCCTCAATATATACCCAAAGGACTTACAATCAGCATACTACAATGACAAAGCCACATTAATGTTTATAGCAGCTCAATTCCCAAAAGCTATGTAACTTAGGTGCCCTTCAAAGGATGAATGAATAAAGAAAATGTGATATATATACACAATGAAATATTATTTAGCCATAAGAAGAATGGCTTTATAATTATGCCCTTAAATGGATGGGCCTGGAGACTATCATACTAAGTGAAATAAGCCAATTCCTAAAAACCAAAGGTTGAATGTTTCTCTGATATGCAGATGCTTACACACAATGGGGTGAGGGGGAGAATAATTCAGGGGATTAGACAAAGGGAAATGAAGAGAAGGGAGGGGGGATGAGAACAAGAAAGACAGTAGAATGAATCAGTCATAACTTTCCTATGTTCATATATGAATATACCACCAGTGAAACTCCACATATATACAACCACAAGAATGAGATCCTAATCAAAATAAGTTATACACCATGTATGGATGTCAAAACATACTCTGTCATGCATATCTATAGTACATTAATTTTATGTTACCACTTGTCTGAGGTATAGTGTTTTTTATAGATTTTGGTTTTGATTTAATGGTTTCTATCTACAAATCAGGTCATCTGCATTTGAATGCCTTTTTATTCTCTTATGTTCTTTTATCCGATTGTTTTGTTCTCTCCAAGACAGTGTTAAAACATAATGGAGCTGGGTACGGTGGTACATGCCTGTAATCCCAGTGGCTCAGGAGGCTGAGGCACGAGCTAAACCTCTCAGTGCTCTCTAAATAAAATACAAAATAGGGCTGGGGATGTGGCTCAGTGGTCAAGTGCCATGAATTCAATCCCTGGTACCAAAAAAAACAAAAACAAAAACAAAAAAAAAACCCATAATGGAAATAGTGGGTATCCTTTTCTTGCTCCTTGGTTTTGAAAGAAATGCTTAGCTAGCTATCCCATTAAGATGCTGGAGTGGGCTGGGGATGTGGCTCAAGCGGTAGCGCGCTCGCCTGGCATGTGTGCGGCCCGGGTTCGGTCCTCAGCACCACATACAAACAAAGATGTTGTGTCCGCTGAAAACTAAAAAATAAATATTAAAAAAATTCTCTCGCTCTCTTAAAAAAAATTAAAAAAAAAAAAAAAGGTGCTGGAGTTTGTTACAATTCCTGCCCCGACTCAGAAATGAATTCCAGAATTTTGTCAAGGGCCTTTTCATCATCTGTGTAGATCATTGTTTGTCCTTAGTGCTATTAACTTGTCCATTCTATAAACAGATTTCCTAATATTAAACCCACTTCTATTGATAAGATCAAATCACCTTAAAATTTACTATAGATTATTTCCTAATTTTTCTTTCTTTTTTAGTTGTAGATGGACACAATGCCTTTATTTTTGTGTGGTACTGAGGATTGAACTCAATGCCTCACACATGCTAGACACATGCTCTACCACTGAGCTACAACCCCAGCCTTTATTTCCTAATTTTTAAAGAACTTTTGTTTCAATATTCTCATGAGATTGATTTGTGGCTCTTTATTTACATACTCTTTCAGATTTGGCATTAATGACATATTTTTATTTCATAAAAATAGATCTTAAAACTTTCTTCATTTTTTTATATTTGGGAACAGACTTTTAGATTTAATAATTTCCTCCTGAAACCTTCTATATCAGGTAATTTTTTTTTAATGGGGGTAAATCTAATAGCTTTCTGTGTGTCATGTATGGAGATTGTTTCTCTCCACTTCTGCTATGGCATCTGTAAATTCCATTTTCCTTGGAATTAACCATCTATGTATCAAATTCATAACATTATACAGACTCATTTTATTCATTCTGAATATTTTTTCATTATTTCTTTCCTTTTTCTCATATTTGCATTTACTTGCTTTCCTGATTGGGTAAGCCAGAGGATGTCTTTTTTCTTTTTTAGAACATTTATTAATTCTAATATGTTTTATATCTAAATAATTTTTGCTTTTACCTTGAAGAGTTTCTGGGGGGAGTACAGTATTCCCAATGCCTTAGGCATGCAATAAATTCTGGGCTTTCTTGCTAAAAAATGTTTTCTGGGAAAAACCACCAAATATCAGTTTTCATGGATTAAATCAGTGACTAGGAGAAATTTATACTTCCAAATACTTTACATAAATTAGAATCAACACATGGGAATTAAATACTCAACTCTTAAAATGCAGGGTATAGAAGGAAATAAAAATAAAAGCCCCAAAGTCCTAGACCTTTATCAAATCAAATGCTGACAAGATGGAAACCAGTTGCTACATTATTTTTCTAAATGTTCTCCTGGATTTGGGCTGCAGGGAATAATGAGATTCTGGAACAATCTTTGAATCCAATGATTCCTCATCCAAAAGCTAGGGTGACGCTCCTCAGGTGGCAAAGGCATTAAAGCCAAAGACAACACAAGTGTAGATTTTCCACATAGATTTTGAAAAATACTTTTAACACTAGTAATCCATTATGCAGCATAAAGGGCAGAATTGTGAACTTAGCCCTTGTTTATAATTATGCAAAAATGATCTGTGTATAGTTACTATAGTTATGTAAAAATTAAAGCTAAAATATGAGCATCAATAGGATTACTAATTTTGGCAATTAAGTATAATACTTTATGTTTACCAATGTTCAGTATTTATAATAATTTATTTCCTGAAATCTTATCTACCATCTTCAATTTAAATTTATATTTGACAGACATTAAGAACTGATTATGGGGGAAAATTATAATGAAAAGAAAGCATATATGATTATATATACAATAATGACATAACTTTGTAAAACAAAATATAAATAAATATGCTACAATTTACATTTCAAAACATTTACAGTAATAACTCCTTGAAGGCAAAAATCCCTGTTTTACTCATCTTTATAGCCCCAACTGACAGAAGAGTATTTAGCACAAAGTACACATGTAATAAGTATTTGATGGAAAAATGAAGTAAATGATGTCTTCAAAAAAGGGTAGTCGATCAAGTGAATATATGAAACTTTAATATGTTTATATTCAAAACATACAAAGGCCTTAAGACAAAGTCAATATCTAACTAAAATTCTCTTATGTAATTTCATTATTACAAAGTCTTTAATCAAAAATTCAACTCTAAAAATAGGGTCTCAAAAATTACACATCTACACGTAGTACTAAGTAAATTGTCTTATGCATCATCATCATCATCATCATCATCACCATCTATTGCAGCATAGATTGCCTGATTCCTCCTCTTAATCTTCTTTCTCTGTTCAGGTTCATGTTCATCACTCCGCCTCTTCAATGGCATCTCAGTTAAGTCCTTTTCATTCTCCAACTCCACGGCCTCATCAAGTTTCCCTTCTCTATCAGTTGGTGAACCTGATGTATCATCAGAAGATACAATCATGGAACCTGGCAAGATCCTGATATCAGAGAAGCTTGCAGAAAAGTCAGAACCTTGATTCGAAGAAGGTTCTATGGATGGTGTGTTCGAGTCGCTATGTGCACTTACAATATTATCATCATCTTCCTCCTCTTCATCTAACATTATTTCATCTGGATTGATAGAGGATAGGGCAGATGTATCTGTATTGTATTCACTCCGGTCCCCTCCAGAGTCATTACTCTCTACATCATCCTGCTCTTCATATTCACCACATAAATGATGTTCTTCCTTGGCCTTCTGGAGGCTGACGTTAATGTCTGTGATGCCAAGCTGGGCACAAAACTCAGTAGTCTGAGGATTGATCCTATGAACCAGCTGCATTTGTGTTTGTGGCTTGTTAGGGTCATAACAAGCAGCTGTTACACTAAAGTTACATGGAACTCTGAGGTCATGATTCAGTTTTTCCAATACTTCCTTCATAGCTTCTTCTGTTGCACTATAGTCCCACCTACAAAAATCAGAACAATAGATTTTTACATTTTATCAACTTCACTCAACAAATGATAAACCTAACTATGGACTCCAGGTACAAGGATATAGAGTAAATAGCTATCAAATTTCATGTAGTAAAATTACAGTTAAATTAGCAAAGGATCACTTAGAAATAACAAACAACTCTTAGAAAAATCCTTAACTTGTAACGCAAAACAGTCACCATTATTTATTTATTAAAATATTTTTTTTAGTTGTAAATGAATCTTTTATTTAATTAATTTATTTATTTACATGTGGTGCTGAGGATTGAACCCAGAGCCTCACACTTGCCAGGCAAGTGCTCTAACACTGAGCCACAACTCCAGCCCCAGTTACCCTTACTTTTTAATGTGACTTCATTATAGTTTTATCCACAAATTTCACTTACAAATTTACTTGGGTTGATGTTCAATAGTCCATTTGCTTATCTCCCTTGGATGGAAAACTTGTAGTTTTCTAGACTATTATAGTCACTCAATTTTGCATTGTTCTTATACTTAATCAACAATGATTCCTGTGACTAAAAACAAAGGTGGGGCCCCATAGCCAGTGTCTACTGAGGCCAAAGGCTGCAGTAACCCAGTCAGTCCCAAGCTGGGAACCCCAGGTAAGTACTGTGCCTAAAAAAATATGTCACGTCACTGGGCAGGCAATTCACAGTAGGTTTGCCAAATACCCAGATTATAGCAAACTCTCTTATCCTGCTCCCTCCTCCTTTCTATAGATCAAACAAACACCTTGGGAACCCCAAAACAAAACAAAGTTGAGAGAGACATAATTGTACATGCAAAAGAGAAGGAAGTCCTAAAGAGGTCAGACTTACTTTGTATGCAGACCATTATTTTCAGGCATATTCCATAGGCTTCCAGTCACATTAATAAGATTGTTAGTAGCCTTGAGAATAGTGAGCCATTCAATATCATACTCCAAGTAATCAGGAGCACTGGGGTCATGTTCTATTTCTAATACCTACAGAAAGAAATTGATATCTTTAGGTAATATTATGTATTTTTGGTAGTCCAAGAATTTGAATATTAAGAAAATTAAAAAAGAATTTAAAACAACTTAATTGTAAATCAACCATTTAATTTTAAAACATCAATATAACTTAAATAGCCTTAAAGATTCTCAGAATATGCCAGGGCTGGTGGTGCACACCTGTAATCTCAGCAACTTTGGAGGCCGAGGCAGGGGACTGCAAGTTTGAGGCCATCCTTTGCATCCTAGGTATACCCTATATCAACATTTTAAAAAGATGGGGTGGGGGAAAAGGGCTGGGGATGTAGTTCAATGGTAAAGCACCCCTGGGTTCAACCCCTAGTACCCTTAAAAATTCTCTGATTGCTGGGGCAGCTCGGGAGGCTGAGACAGGAGGATTGCAAGTTCAAAGCCAGCCTCAGCAACAGCGAGGCATTAAGCAACTCAGTGAGACCCTATCCCTAAATTAAATACAAAATAGAGCTGGGGATGTGGCTCAGTGATTAAGTGCCCCTGAATTTAATCCCCGTACCAAAAAGAAAAAAAGAATTCTCTGATTATATAAATTACAAAGAGCACAAATAAATTCTGAAAGGAAAATTTAAAAAATGTTTTTAACTATTGAAAGTATAAAATATATTATAAAGCTACTTCATTTTCTTTTTACCTGAAGAAAGTCTCTGTGTGGTAAGCACTTGTCCAAGGCTAAAAATTTGGTTGCTTTGGCAGTCTGTCCTTTTTCTGCAGCCTAGATAATATGAACCATGATTTAAGAAAAAAAGTCCAAACATCACAGGTCAGTCATACATTGAATAAGACAGAAGAAATAATCTTTATTGCACATGCCTCTGAGTTTTGTGTCAAAAGAATAACTGTTACTTTAAAAAAAAAAAAAAGTTCTATATCTACTTGTACAAAGGCAGGCAAAGCACTTAAAGTCTCTGGGCCTCACTTTCCTTACAAATTTCAAAGCAAAAACTGAAGACGGTATTCATGTCAAAAGAAAGCTTATAAAATATAAATCAAAGCATACACTACAAGGATAAAAGATAACTAAAGAGTGTAAACTAAACTGGCAGAACTAAAACTACCAAAGGTAGACGAACTGTATCCACAAAATAAAATACTAAGCACTAAAAAGGAATGAAATAGTAATACATGCTACATAAGTGACTCAAAAAATAAGCCAGGGAGAAAAACAGATGTCAAAACCTATTTATTTTAGGTTCCATTTACACAAACCATCTAGAAGAGGCAAACGAATTAGTCATTGCCTGGGGCTGAGGATGAGAATAAGGATTGACTACAAATAGCCACAAAGGATCTTTTGGGGCAATGAAACTTCAGTATCTGACATCTGCAGAACTCTGGAAATTTACTTAAAAATCACTGAATTATGCATTTGAGATGTGTTAAAAATTATGTTTCAATGAAGTTTTTTTTCCAAAAGTGAACTGACAAAAGGAACCACAGAACAGAAACCACAAACATGAATGTCGTACTGGGAGAAGTACAAAAGTGACTCACTGAAACAAGGGACATGAAGGTTAAAAAAATAAAAACACAAGAAAGTAAGCTATTGTACATCTTGCTGATGACCAAGTACCAATTCTTTTCTGGGGAGGTACTGAAAAAGGCGGAAGAAGCAGAGATTAGAGGCAGATTTGGCAGCAAAGCAGTTCTGAGGAAAAGTGATCTTTGGTTTTGGTGAAGTGGCTTAAACAGAACAGCAAAGTCAGAGGAGGCTGAGGAACAAATAAAAAGGGATAAAACGTGGCATTAATGCAGGCTGACAACAGAAGATGAATGGGGAAAAAGCAGCACATCAGATGCTTCAATAAAACTTCAAGAGCCAAGAATGTTGCGAGTCCTAAGAAGCAGGAGAGAGTAGCACATTATGGAAAAGGACAGTGACATAAACAGGTGACTGGAACTGAGTGGCAGTGGCCTAAAGCTAAGTGGAAGAACTAACCTCTGCCCTTCTCTCAGTGAAACCTGGAGGTACTATTATATATTTCTGGTAGTCTATGAATTTTAGTATTACTTAAGAAAATTATTGTGAGAACAATAAGTCCACAACAGAAGCAGCCTTTGAAATGTTTTCAGATGAAATGACATTTTAGGGACATTGTTAAAGTGTACTTTTAACACAAAAAAAGTATTTGGTGAAGTAAATTTGGGAAGTACTACACATCACATTCCACTTGAGAAAGGCAATGCCCATTAGTGTATTAACAACTCCTGAAATTTCCATAGAAGACTTAAGAGCCTATTTATAAGTATTTATTCTCTACTTTCCATTAAACATCATCACCTTTGCAATTACCCAAAGAAAACTCAAGGAGTCTTCTTAGATTCTCTTCTGTCATCAAACCCTGATGATTCTGCTTCCTAACTCTCTCTAGAACCTGCTTCATTCTCTGTACTTTTTGTCTTAGACAGAACCCTCTCTTTTGCTAAAAGAGCCTCCTGTGTTTCCCATTTCATATTACTCCAATCCACACACAAAACTACTGCCAAACTAATCTTTCTAAAATGAACATGCAGTTTCATTGCTCCCCAACTTTCTATATCATCTTCTGCTTTAAACCCCAACTCTGTAGTCTGGTCCAGAAAGCAGTTAAGATTTTATTCCAGCTTCATCTGTCCCTGTGCCTCAGCCACAGGGACTACCTGCAGTTTCCCAAATGCTCTTAGAACTCTAGCCTTTGCACATGTTGGTTCCTCTTATTAAAATACTCTTAGAATCTATTTCTTCCTAGAACTTCCAAGACTCAGCTCAACCTTGGAAACCTCTCCCTCTTCAGTTCTGCCACATTCCCATCCCACCACAATCTGGTTTAGGCATTTCTGTAGCACTTTAGCACTTTGCAACCAATCTTACACTGTTTTGTAATTGCGTGCTTTGTCTCTTCCCCACACTTTTGTACTGAGCTACTCACAAGAGATGCATTACCTTTCATTTCTTTGTCTAACTAAAATAGGCCAACAGTGCCTATTTCATAGATGTTCAATAAGCATTTGCAAAAGGAAGGAATATATATTTTGATTTCTACCTGATGCTGCATCAAGGCTGCAAATTTCACGTGAAGGTGTGCAGAAAACCAGTAAGTAGGTTTTAGGTGCTCTAAAAGCTCCGAAGCAGCGGGACTTCCTAATGTGTTATTTTCCACTTCTTGTCGGAAAAAAGATTTGGTCTTAAGAAGTTGCTTCTTATTTCCATAATGATAAATACTTCTTGGCCAGTCATGAGATAAGAATATATCTATAGGCTGCTTCAGCTTTAAAAACAGAAGGAAAAAAAGAAAAAAAATTCTCAAAAACTAAAAACAACCCCTCCCTTCTTTCCACCAGCACACAACCACTCATGCATTTAAATATCTAGATGTATGTGTAATTCATTCTAGAGACAGTTTATTTAAAGAAGTAAAAAAAAAAAATGAGGTTCCTCATTCATCTAGGCAAAGAGGAACAGCTTTTTCTCTGCCTCAAAAATTACCCTATTTTCTGTTGTAAGGCAGAGCAGCAGAGACAGACTGATTAGACCGTCAATTAGGTGAAGTCTGTATCTGAAATATATGATAACCATAGTTCTTTTCTCCTTGGTAAAGAAATGACGATTTTGAAGATCCAGACAATTTCGTTACATTAATGTAACTGATATAGCAATCCCAAAGGCTTATCAGAAGGGGGAATAGGGAAGTAGCTCAGCAGTAGAACACTTGCCTAGCATGCATGATCCCAGGATCAGAGTGGGGTGGGGGTTGGGGGAGAGTGGAAATCTAATGGGTTCATATGGCATACACAAAACTCTCTATTTACTAAATAAATTAATATTTAATATATAAATTGGCCAGCTGGTATCTTCATGAGGAAGACACAAAACACACTGCATACTTTACTTATCCCAGCACCTTCAAGTAATCTGAAATAAATTCTTGGAAAACTAAATTAAAACAACCAAAATAACTGGCCAACAATATAAAATGTAACCTTGATATGACCACCCACTGAATAACTAGTATGGATAATAGGCATAGTGAAACTTCAGGGAAGGGTAATGACTTTAAACCAGAAGTCTCAGTTGGGAAGTGATATCTAAGTTGGGTCTTAAAAGACTGGTAGGATTTAGACAGGTGAAAGGAAAAAGCCACCGAAGGGAACTGTATGAATGCCACATAAAAGTAAGGTGAGCGAGCAATCTTATGCCCCTGAGGAGGCTCTAGGGAGGGTGATGGAGCCTGAGCAGAATCAGGCAGGTGCTCCCACTGGACCACCTGGGAGGTCCTGGCAGGTACTCACCTGTCTGAGCCCTGGTTTCTCATACTTCAAGTGAGGGAATCATAATAAGATCTGCCTTACAGGATTTGAGCTGATTACACAAAATAACTTGTATGAAAACTGCACAGCCCAATGTCAGCCACACAGGTTTTCAAACAAAAACTTAGTTTTATCTACTCTCCCATTAAGTCAACATTTTAATACCATCTTTACAACTTTCCCATATCCTCTATCATCTTTCCCATTATTTTCTCTTTGATACCATTATTTCATTACTATCACATAAAATGTTTAATTTTTTCTTCAAAGTATCACTAGAGTTTAATACGTATTCTTAGATTTACCCTAAGTATAATACCTGAAATCAGGAATTCATTTATAATTTATAATTACCAACCAAAATAAATTCTTAACAATTACAAAAAACTTATTCATCTATGAACCTCCTACAAGCAATTTGAAATCCACCTTTTTGAAATATTGAATCAATTGTTCTCAAAAGTAGTATACCAATATAATCAAAATACATTTTGTTTCAAAATTAATTTTTTTTCAATCTGCTATGATAGACTTTTGACATACCTGTTTTAATTTATAGACTTCAATATTTCTCACATGATATATACTTCTTATTGTAGATGGGTTATAAGGGGGGTACTCAAAATGACCTTAAAGAGAAATAAGCTTTATTATTGTAGATATCTTCCCAAGACTGGTTTCAATTTACACTAGCATGTGCTACAACTAGACAGCCTATTTTTGTACATCATGTCAATGGTTCAGAATCATGGAGAGCAGAGGGGTGGGGAGCAGATTTGTGATTTGACAGATTGAAGATTTAAGTTTTAACTGGCAACTTAACCCAAGAAATTTATGAAATCAATATGAATCCAAGCTGTTTCTCTAACTTTAAAAATCAAGGTCTAACTCTTTCAGATACAGTGGAATGACTGGTACTTTGTGGTATACTTACACAACAAAATATTATATACTAGTGAACCATGTAGTTATATATATGAATTCAGAGTTCAAAACATGTTAAACAAAGAAGCTAGTTGCAGAAAGCTACCAGCAATAAGATACATTTATACAAAGCTTAAAACACACTATACAATACATTGTTTAAAATTCTTATATGTGCGTCAGTAACATAAAATACTAAAGTGAATAATAAACATCAACCTGAGAATAGGAACTGCCTGGCAAGGAGAGGGAAGGAAGAAAAAGAGTGAAAATAGAGGATGGGAAAACAATGAACTTCAGTTCTATCTCTACTGTTTTATTTTTTAAAAATCAAAGTTAAAATGGCAAATACAAAGAAAACTAGATGGTGGATACACAGATATGATAGTGTGGTCTATATTTTCAAATATATAAAATATTTTATAATAGCTGGGTGTGGTGGCACATGCCTGAAATCCTAGCAGCTCAGGAGGCTGAGACAGGAGGACAGCAATTCAAAGCCAGACTCAGCAATGGTGAGGCAGTAAGCAACTCAGTGAGACCCTGTCTCTAAATAAAATACAAAAAATAGAGCTGGGAAATGTGGCTCAGTGGTTGAGTGCCCCTGAGTTCAATTCCCAGCACCCTCCCAAAAAAAATTTATAATAAAAAGTTGAGAAAAAAAATCATTCGCAGAAAAAAATGTAAAGAATAAGTTAAACTACATATGTTGCTTGTTATTTTGAAGCACACAAGTTTTAAAATTTAAAAATAATTTCCAAAAACAGCAATACCTTTTCGATAGTCATGAGATTTAAAGATACCAGAGATTCCACCAATCCTTACACCTCGGTATTTTACCACACCAGCCAAACCTGAAAAATCATGCAATTAAATAAAGTTAGTATAGACAAAAGCAATTTCTTTACTAATAATAAATCATTTAGAGGCCTGAAATTCCATACAGTCCTAAAATTATTTGAAAATAAGTACCATGATGAAGTTATTCTTCTTACATAGTATATCAACAATATATAAGGTAAGACTAGGGTGAAAAGGCCTAGAAGCAAGTCAGCCAAGAGACTAAGTTCATTCTGGTCCATAGATGAAGTAGAGTGTTAAAAGGGAAACAGACATGATTTGGTAACTCACTGAACATAGTGGTGAGGAAGAAGGGGGGAAACATAAGGAAAAATGTCCTATAATGGAATTATGCATTATACATCTGCAAGTCATCAGGTATAAGTACCTGAAGTTTTATATTTCAATCTCTAATACTGCAAATAATAATAACTACAAATAGTAAGGTCTCTGCAGTCTTATTAAATATCTCAAAACATTAGATGAAGCAAGGACATATTTTTGTGATTAACCATTTAGTAATTATTTTAACTAAATTTTCATGATTAACTATTTAAATTCAGAATATTCCCCCAAATACTATATACACTTCAAGATGCTGCCCTACTAATATAAATCCTAACAGGCTCTTCCATCCCATCAAACCAAAAAATTATACATGTACACATACCTAAATAATAAATGTTTGGTGCCACCCAGCCACCATAGGGTAACTCTTGCAAATGATTTGAGGCTTCATGGTTTCCGCCAATGAAGACTGTAAGAACTGGGGCCTTCTTCTCTCCAGAGTAATACCTAGAAAGAACATAAGGGTAAAGTTGTCAATTACTAAAACAGGCATAACAGAAAAGCAAAATAACGTTGCAAGGAAAAAAGTTAAGCTCATCATAAAAAGTTAAAAAGATCTTTGTAAACAATCCCAAGTATCCATCCTTGTCCTTAAGAATGAAGACCGAATTTCAAGCAGGCCCACTTTCAGTGTCAGGTTCACGGCTATAACTCAAAGCTTCTAAAACCAGTACTAGCACACAGCAGGAGTCCAATAAAAACTCCTGGATCATTAAATGAACTAATTCCAGAGTCCTGTCAAGTACAAGATATTGAAACCTGTTGGCTTCTTCCTCCAGGTTTCCCCCTCAGGCTGCCTGGGAAACAGAACAGACAGATGTATACAGAAAAAGAAAACGGAAAAAAGGAAAGTGACATTTCCTAAGCGCCAGGTCTTAGGTTGAACAAAGACGGGAACCAAAGGAGAGAGCTTATCAGGGCAGCAGGGGATTCGAACCCAGTCCTGGGTCTCCGTCCTCTGCCGACCAGTCACACGCTCCGCACCGCCGGATCAGAGGCCCAGACCGCGCCCCTCACCTGTAGAAGGTCTGCATGTGGCGGTACTTGGGGGGCACAGCCATGCAGCGCAGGTCGGCCTCGTTGCGCACAGCCTGGAAGTCGCCACAGCACAGAAGGAGGTCCACGGGCCCAGGGCCACGCCGCTCGGCCAGTGCCAGCGTCTCGTAGATCTTGTCCAGCTCGCCATGGCAGCAGCCGGCCACAGCCACCCGCATCCTGCCGGCCTGGGGCGCTGAGCACCGCCCTCAGCACCGGAGACCGCCTGCGGCAGAGACCCGACAGCGCGCAACTCAAAGCAGCGCTCTGCTCCCGCCAACTTGCACTGAGCCGCCGCCGCGTTTGACTCCGGCAAATATAATCTGCTTCCGGTTCCCAAATCTCGCGAGAGAGGGATCGGGAAGGGCACCGCTGACACCAGGATCTCGGGGAACTCTCCAGTCGAATTGGGCTGAGCGTGTTTTCGCGAGTCCTACCAGTCTGAAGGGATGATAAAATTTAAAACCAGTAAATAAAATCCTCTGAGGTAGGAATTTAGGTAGGAATGAAACCAAGCCAAACCAGCAAGAGCGACTGGCGAATTCCCTAGGACGAAACTTCTCCCAGCAATGACAGTTGCCTGATAGTGAATTACAAATTAATCAAGAGATTTTTAAAGGACATTCAAAAATAATAATTTTAAGTGGAATTTAAAAACTGAGGATTTAAAAATTACCCCACAAAGAGTTTCTAAAATTATGATGTGTGTGTGTGTAAGAGGACTGAGAATTTTGCCTTTTGCTACCAAATAGTTGTTTGCCTAATTAGGATGCAAGCTTAATGAAAGCAGAGGAGTGTCTTGAAAACTGAAGGAGAGAAAAGGACCAAACTGGTCAGTGAAGAATGAATGGCCAAGACAGAAACAAGGAAAACACCTTTGAAAAACTTAACCAAGAAAAGGTAATCTTATCAAGGAAATACACGGAATGATAAGTCCATCTCTGATCAGCTTTAAACTAGCTAACATCCCCATTATGCCTGAAAGTACCCAAATACCTAAGACTACCCAGAGGATCCCTGAGGAAAGGGACCTAAACTCTCCACCTGAACTACCCAACCTAGTTGTGCCCAGCATCTCAGAGGAGAACACCTTGGGAGCTCCCTTGTGGAAACTACTGCTAAAAACTTATGATGTTGCAAACAAAACCCGACCCCAGGTGACAGAGTCCTGTTAGATGTGTTATGATATGCAACTCCCCTTTTATGAGGGGATAGCTCTCCCAGGAAGTTATACACTGACTAGCAAAGTACAGGACTGCGGTTGGGAACCAGTGGAATCTGGACTTGGAGAAGGTTATTGGAAAAGGCAGCTGTGTGGGAAACCCACCACCCTCTCTGCAGCATTTATGCAATCAGACTTCCCCTATGCCCACCCAAATGACTTATCTATTACCATCAGAAAACAGTTGGTGGGCATGTGACACAGGCCTTACCCCAAGTGCTCACAGGGCTGTGCTCAACCATACCCAGGGATTTTGCAGTTTGGCACGTGCTCCCCTTGCGACATCCTCATGATTTAAACCAATCAGTGCAAATGAATCCCCCTCTTGTAGTGACCACCCCTACCCAAAACTTGTTCCCGCCAGTGAATGTGCTAAGCATGTTTTAGAGTTGTTATTTGATTTTCCCCGCGGTGTGTGATGATTTGCTAGGAGATGCTATGATGTATGTGGGGGTCCCTGCCTTCTCCAAAGAATGTATAAAACTGCTGCAAACCCTGGGCTCGGGGCCTCTTAGCGTTACCTGTTGCTGTGTGTGCGAGGAGGACCGAGCTAGCTCGCAATAAACACCTCTTTGCTGCTTACATCAATCTTGGTCTCTGGTGGTCTTTAGGGGGTCCTGAATTCGAGCATAACAGCAGGAGATTGCAAGTTCCAGACCAGGCTGTCTCAAAATAAAAACTAAAATAAAGGGGCTGGGGTTGTGGTTCAGTGGTAGAGCGTTTGCCTCACACGTGTGAGGCACTGAGTTCTATCCTCAGCACTACATAAAAATAAATAAACAAGATAAAGGTATTAAAAAAAAACTAAAATAATTAATTAGAAAATAAAAGGATGGGGGATATAGCTTAGTGGTATAGTGATGCCATAATTTATCACAGTGTATCTCACAGAAGTTGAACTGGTAAGAACAAACTTATTAAAAGCTAAGACACAAAGTTTATATTTTTATGCCATGTCATGTGACTACTGGAAAAAATGCTGAATTACTGTAATTCGTCTCAGCAAAGTTTTCCTATACAAATTAGAAGAATTTTGATTTCTAAATCTTTTGCAAGAGCAACATTAAAGCAATTCAAATCAGAACATCTAATTAAATAAAAGTAACAAACCAAAGCAATTTCATAACCTAAATTAATACATTTATCATTGGCTAATGATATCTCAACTGGTACAGCTTCTACAGGTCTTTCAGTCCCTTCAGTTTTGTCGACAAACTTGTTTGTGATGATGGCAGTGGTGTTGTAGGTTCAGGCACCACTAGGTATACTTTTCATGCAGGAACCACAGTGTCAGATCCCCATAGCTTCTCTGTTCTCTTTAGAAGAGAAGGAGTGAGTATATTTATGTGTTGACTGATTTCAATTTTCTTCATCACTTTCTGGAGGGAGGCACCATAGTGGCTCCAGGATTTACCCATGATGCCAACCTGCAATTAGCCATGTTGTGTCAGTTGACCAGAGAAAACTTCATGTTTAAAAAAATTAGATATAACTTAGAGTACATAAATCAAACCTTAAGTGTACAGTCTGATTAATTTTTACATAGATAACCCAAAATATCACCTGCCATTTTAAGGTACATTAATATACATCAGACTCTTAAAAAGACTCTCTTATGCTTCCTTCCAAGTCCCTTCTTTCAGAAGAAAAGCACCATTGATCTGTCATCATAGAAGGAATACACTATTCTGACCTCTGTCACCATAGATCAATTCTGCCCCTCCATTTTTTTTACAGAATATTTCTATTTTATTTATTTTTAAGTAGTGCTACTGAGGATTGAAGCCAGTGTCTCATACATGCTAGGCAAGCACTCTGCCACTGAGCTACATACAGCCCTAGGTTCCCTGCCCATTTTTAAATGTCAGATATTTGTCAGTTTGTATTATTCACTCTTTTGTGTCTGGCTTCTTTATGCCATGTAATGCCTTGAGATTCATCTGTAAATCTGTACTATAGATAGATAAAGCCATAGTATGCTATTTCTTATTGCTGTATTCCATTGTGTTGAATATATCACAATTTATATATTTCCCTATTGAAGCACAGTTGAATTGTTTCCAATTTATGGCTACTATGAATAAAGATGGCATTCACATTCTTGTAAAATCTTCTGGTGAACATAGGTACTCATTTCATTGGATTATACCCAGGAGTAAAATCTCTACATGAGAGAGTATGTTTAACTTTAGCAGTTAGTGCCATTTCCAAAAGGATTATGCTCATTTATGCTTTGTTAATGTAAGAGAGTTCTGATTATTCCACATGATCAGCAGCACTTGGTATTGCCTGTTCAATTTTAGTCTTTTTTTTTTTTTTTGGTTGGATAAGGGTATTTTCTTATGTTACCATGTCAATTTTGCAACAAAATTTTGACGTATCAAACAATTAGAGCCAGGCATGCTGTCGCACACCTGTAATCCCATCGGCTCAGGAGGCTGAGGTAGGAGGATCACAAGTTCAAAGCCAGCCTCAGCAAAAGCAAGGTACTAAGCAACTCTAGTGAGACTCTGTCTCTGAAGCACTAAATAAAATGCAAAATAGGGCTGGGGATGTGGCTCAGTGGTGAAGTGCCCCTCAGTTCAATCCCCAACACCCCCCAAAAAAATTTTTGAATTTTTGTGACCAATAGTAAACAGTAACTCAGTACTATAATATTAAAAAATTAATGATTAAAGAAGGAAATAGATTATAAGAATGAAGAAGTGCATCATGACTCAATTCCTAATTCTATTTCCAACCCAAATCTCAATTCCAGAGGCCATATTGGTGAGTCAACACACTGGATAATTTTTACTGGTTTTTCTAAAATCAGTCAAAAAGTAGTCAAATGAAATAGAAATCCTCACCACCACCCCATTATGAATGAGGAGAAACAGGAGGGTTTTTGGAGAAAATTTTTTACAGTTTGGATGTAAGGTGTTCCCCCAAAAGCTCATGTGTGAGAAAATGCAAGATTTAGAGGAAAGATTATTGTAGAATAATCTTAACACAATCAGTGAATTAATCCCCTGATGGGATTAACTGAGTGGTAACTGAAAGCAGGTAGGCTGAAGGAAATTGGTCATTGGGGGCATGCATTTTGGGCATATATTTCATATCTGGTGAGTGGACTGTCTCTCTTTGCTTTTTGGTTATCATATGCCACACTCTTCCACCATATTGTTCTGCCTCCCCTAGAGCCCCAAGGAATGGAGCTGGCCTTCTATAGACTGAGACCTCTGAAACCATGAGCTCCTAAAGATACTTTTCTTTTCCCCTAAAATTATTCTTGTCAGATCTTTTAGTCACAGCAGTGAAAAAGCTGACTAAAACAAAAATGGATTGAGCAAACAAAGAAAAATAACTCTTTTTTTAGTCAGCTTTTTCTCTGACTAAAGGGATTGAACTCAGGGCACTTGGCCACTGAGCCACATCCCCAGCCCTATTTTTGTATTTTATTAGAGACAGGGTCTCACTGAGTTGCTTAGCTCCTCGCCATTGCTGAGGCTGGCTTTTCTCGATCCTCCAGTCTTAGCTTCCCAAACTGCTGGGATTATAGGCGTGCGCCAGTGCACCCAGTTGAAAATAACTCTGACATATTTGAAGGGTTGCCTACTGAACAGGCAGGTGCTGTCAAACTGTGAGGGCCCATGGGGGAAAACAAACAAGTCTCACATATGGTTGGAAAGAAGTTCCTTGATTCTATCAGAACAGTGTCTATCAGCGTCTAGAGAGGTGCACCTAACAGTGAGCCATGTGAAAAAAGAAACCACATATCAACTATGGAAACATGCTATAAAGAGCATTACCCAGAATGAGTCTGTCAGAAGTGCTTTTAAAACTTCTTTTTTTGGGGGGTGGGGGGTACTGGGGATTGAACTCAGGGGCACTCAACCACTGAGCCACATCCCCAGCCCTATTTTGTATTTTTATTTAGAGACAGGGTCTCACTGAGTTGTTTAGTGCCTAACGTTTTTGCTGAGGCTGGTTTTGAACTCATAAATATCCTGCCTCAGCCTCCCAGGCCACTGGGATTACAGGCAGTGCCACCATGCCCAGCCTTTTAAGACT